GCAAGCCACTAGTTATTTATGGCAATGCAATAATGGGGGAAAAATGCCATCGTGCTGAGTTGGTAATGCTTGACTCTTACTTTTTCCTGGATTTAAATGAGTGCCCAAACTGCAGGGCAGTGCGGAGCCTTTCCCAGGCTTCTTGACGTGTATTTACAGCTGGCTCATAGTTACTCTATCACCTAAGTGTTTTAACTAACCCTTTCTAATTAATCCTTTCTTGGTAATATTGCCAAACTCTATTGCTCCTTACTTGCCAGGTTTGTTTCTTTCGTCTAGATGGTAGCAGGAATTGTTATTTTCTGGGTCTGAAAATGCACAAAACTGTGCTCACACAGCTCAAAATGCAGAAGCTGTTTGGTAAAGTTATGTGGGAATAGACAGTGCTACCTGCACGTAGTAAGAACGTAACAGCCGGGTTTGTTTTTCTAAACTAAAACTGATCAACTAAGAAAATGTACTACACAGCCACTTAATGCAGCTGTATTTGTCATGAGTTCTCTATTTAAAAACCCTAAGAGTCTTGTTCCCATGTTTTGCTATACCTGAAACTGAAATAAGTAGTGTCAGTGATTTACATTTGCAAAAGCACATATAGCAACAGCTCTTGCAGCCTGGGACAGTTATTTCATTAAAGGTTACAGAATAAAGGATAATCATCGCAGCTACAGCTTGGTAATAACTTGGAACAAATTTACAGATATGAGCATAGGAAAATATTGGTTTAAATGCTTTCCCTGTGGCTTTGAATGACAATGAGATTGAGAAAGAGTCTGAAATAGATGCATAACTTGAACTGCAAGCAGCAACTGATAAGGAAACTGGGGCAGAGGGAATGACTCAGTTGGATGCGGTGCGGTGGAAAATCCACATGGGGCTTTGGAAATGTTCATCCATGCCAGTGATAATGCACCAACCGCAGGGATGATTATGACAATCACAAAAATTCTGAGAGCAGTAATGAAAAATAACCAAGGCAATGAGCCAGTGGGAACTTCAGAGTCAAGGGGCACAAAGGACGACGTTTGGAAAAGAAAAAGAAGAAAAGGGGCTGAGAGGATCTTTGATCTAAAGGCTTCTTTCTACAGGTTTTATTTCTCCATGCAGAAAAATACAAGGTATATATCTATTCCCTTAAGAGTTGAACAACATGTCAAATAGGAGAAAGAGAGAGAGAGGAGACCTTCTGAAATAACATTTACTCATCATAAAAATTTGTGCCTGAGTGTGACAAAGAGAAAAATAAAACCATGTAGCTTAAAAATAAATATATAATCATTCATTATATGTTATTGTATTATATGTAAATATATAACAGAAATATAACTGAACAGTTTAAAAAAAAAGTACAATAAGGTGTGTAGCAACTTTGACAGAATAGGATAGATAAACATGCACTGCCATTTGAACTCCTTGCATGAGATGACTATTCTATATTTTAAGGGAGTGTCTCCCTTTTTCAATCAAGTGACCCCTAATTCTGACAGGTGACATATCAATGATTACTTGTCCTGTTTGGAAGCCTCAGGCAAGTATTTTGCATTCTCTTTCTTTTTCATAGGCTTTTTCAGTGTATCATCTGCCACGTATATCAACAGGTCTTTAGGGACCTATTATAAAAAAAATAGTGTTAAGAATAACTCCGTTGTTGCATCTCATTTCACACTTTTAGTGACAAGTCACATGAAAGTGTCCCCTTTGGGAGAGAGTGAATCTTTTTTTCCAGGAATGTTGACAATTGTATTTAAGCCATTCTTTACCTTCAGAAAATTAGAAACTATAATTCAATTCCGTTGCATCTGTATCAGGGGCAGCAACACTGGAGGCTGAAATGCTAACCCATCACCTCACTCATTTGTCACCGTCACCCGAGCCATTTTATGTTAGGTGTCAGGAGCAAAAATTGAAGTGTATGAAATGAAGACAGAGTCCTGGTACTTCAAGCTCCGGCAACTGGGCTACTGTTCCACTTGTTGCCACAAGTATTTATTTTCTTCACTAGCTAGGTACATGCCCTGCCATCACGTATTCTGTGATCACGGAAATTTAGATTAAGTTCTGCTCGAATCACTTGAGTCAGGAGTGCCCAGGTGGGGCATGAGGTGGTCCATTAGCCTTTGTGACCCTCTGGTGCCAGTCAACTGAGGACAGGCAGCCAAAAAACCCAAAAAACTTTTGCTTTGTGTCCCCTCCCACACGTTACCCTTAAGACTGGCCTACATGTGGGAGTAAGGTATTTAGCACTGTGGACTGTACTGTTTGATACAGTCCCTCAAACGCAGTAAAACGCCCCAAGAAACATAAACTGGGAGGATGTAATAATCTGCTGCATCCTGCAGGGTAAGACGAGGAGCTTGTCAGTGCGCTGTGATATCCCAACAGCAAAGGGCAGAGAGCTGCAGGCCTCTCGCTTGGAGCGTTATTTTCCCGAAACCCTGCAAAAAACGTAACATACGTCTCTCCTCATCTGCTCGCTGACAGGGCGAAGCTATAGGTTCCTCCATATTTCCCTTGGCAGGAAGCAGCAGTGGATGGGTGGGGTATGCATATATATGTATATGCAGAAACGTGCAGCCACATACCCCGCAATCCACTGCTGACATATACATGCATACATATACATAGTTATGGCTATTGCACTCTAGGGAGGCAGCATCTCAGCAGGCTTTGTCTAGGTCCTGGTTTTGCCAGCTGTGGTGTTGGGCACAAGCATAACGGAAGTGTTTAGGAGTGAATTCCTTCCTTTGGGAGAGAGCCAGTGTGGTTTCTTTTTTACCTCCCATTAACATCATTTGTGTACTTATTAAGATTAAGAGACAATGTTACGTGCTGCCTCTCTGCTGCACCACAATGGCTTTAGGTCTTACTGTCTTAAAGGCTTGCAAGTAACATGAAATCTTCTTGGCAAAAGGCAGGACTTGCTGTCTGACGGGAGTGGGAGAAAGAAAGGTTTAACGTGGGGAGTGGGGGATCACTTTTTCAGCTGGACTCTAAGTCTAAGCATGCAAATCTCTTATTTGTCGGACCAGACTGCATATTGTAAAAGCTTTGGGGTTTTCCTTCATTGGCTTAAGAGCTTTGTTAATGCATAAGGTATAGGGGAAAACAGCTCTGTCTTACGTACGGTTCTGGGTTATCTCGCTGCTGTTTCCAGAACCTCAGATGAAAGAAAATAGTACAGCTGATTATGGTCTAGAGCTGTATGCTTTGCAGGTTTACATGCCTGGGAGCAGCTTGGGATCTGTCTATATTTTTTCTAAGTGCTGTTGTTTAGATTTGTGTTTTGCTGCAGATATAAAGCAGAAACCGTTCCAAAGACCTATGTGGTAGGAAGACTTTTTTTTGCCTATTATTAGCACTCTGCTTTTGCGGCAGGCGCTTATGAGCCAATATGCACAGTTTTAAAGGACTTCAAAGTGTCATTGGGAACCAACTGATATGTATGTTAAAAAGGGTTTAATGGAGCTGCTGTCACTGTAGCATACTATCTTTTTATAGCAAGTTTTTACTGCATTAAGGAAAACATCCTGCAGATTTCAGTAGGATTGGCATATGGATAAAGTACTTTGCACTATGATTTTTGTTTATTTGCTATAAAAAAAAGGGGGGAGCCATTCACTTCGAATGTTGCTAGCTACAGGAAGAATGATAAGTAGGATCGGGTCAGGCACCAGCTATTGCTTCTATTTTGGGTTTAATATATATATGTTTTTTTTGGTCCAGAGATGGAAAAACATATATTTGCAAGCCTACAGCTTGGTTTAGAGAATGGAAATACACAGTGATTTGCATTCACATTGAAGTTTTTAACAGTCGTTTTTTTTCAGAGCCACTGGATTTCACTGTCATCATCACAAGGCAAATTCTGTTTTGCAGAGTTGAGGCCAACTTCAGTGACTGTCTCTGAGAATGTCATATGCCACGCTCCCACAGAAGAGAAGCCTGAAGAAGCGGTTTGCAAGAACCACACTGAATACTAAAGCCGACATGATCTCTGCGCGGTCACATTGATCTGCAGGGATGTCTGAAGACATTTGGCAGGGAATCATTCATCTTAAAGCTTAGGATCTGCTGATTTATACTGTCCGTATTTCCCTGTTTTAACACTATTGGTGATTCTCCTTCATTCCCCTCCGCCCCCCGCCGAGGAAGCATGGTGGAGATGCCAAACGGGACAGACTCCCCGTTGCACTTTAGTAACCCCTGACACCACAGCAGCCGTCGGAAAGAGCTCGGCGGAGCGTCGGTGGCCCGCTGCGAGGGTGAGAGACTTGCCCAGGGTTTCCGAGAAACTCGGAGGCAGAGCTGGGGTGCAGCTCCAGCGCTGCAGCGCCTTTACAGTCACCCTTTCTCCCAGCCACGGTTTCCTTGACTTAGCTGCTTGGACGTGTTCCACCTTTGAAGTGATGCCGTTTTAAAAATGTTTTGCTCTCTGTTTTTACTTCAGGCAGGGGGAAGACGGTTTTAACCTTATCGGGGGGCGGGGGCAAAAAAAAAAAAATAAAAATAAAGGAGGTACAGGAAAACCTTTAGTCGCTGTGGTTACCAGAGCAGGAGAGGATCGGGATGTTTCAGACTTGAGGACAGCTGGCCTCGCTCCCCCGTGTGCCGCCTCCCGGCCCGGCCGCGCTGGC